CGATTATATACTTTTTTCTTTATTCAAAACTTTGAACATGTTCATGAACTTTGAACCTAGGTTCAATAGGAACACTAGCTAAGAGTGATGATAAAAAGATTAGGCCGGAATTACTCATAATTTTACTAATGAAATCATAGCTGCCTATTAAATGAAAATTGTGTCTGGGCCAATTTTATTATAATGCGGGCTTATTTTTTAAGAATTTTTATATTTGTAATAAAAAAATTAAAAAGTTAATTCTGGCCAGAAATTAGTAACCAATTTTGTAATGTGGACCAAAATTTCAAAGATCCTCAGCCGTTAGCCAATCAAAATTGAGGATCTGCTGGTCCAAATTTGTTGCGGCAGCTATGGTTAATCTTATTTCGGGAATATAAGGTCTGGTAACTTGATATATATACTTGTAGTATTTGTAAGTCATAAAATTCAATTCTATTCTTGATACAATCCATTTCAATTCTTATTCTTTGGCAATATCTAATTATTTTTGATTTTAAAAAGTTGTGTAGAATTTAAATTCCTATTCATTGGCAAGATCTGTTTTCATTCAAACAAAGTCTTTATTTGCATTTATTCATTCATTTCTAATTATTTTTCATTTTTTGTTGAAAATGAAAAATTCATCTTTATAAAATTAATCTATTTTTGTTCAAATAAAAGTATTTATTTATTTTTAATTATTTTTATTTCTTGTTGAAAACAAAACAAATATAATCATATAAAATTTTTTACTTGGATTTCGTTTATCATAATTCTTTATACATTCTCAACAAATATTAATAGTATCTTGGTCACCTGAAATCTTAATCTGAAATTTATTTTTAAACCAGTCATTCATATTTAACTAAATAAAATTTTAAAATCGTTGTAAAATAATCGGTTTATAGCTATTATCATAATTCCTGGAACACCTGTGAAAATTTGCCCAAATGATTTTTTTGCTGATTAGGTTAAGCTATAGATTTCGGAAATAATACATAATCAGATAAAACTTATATTTTAATAAGACTAAATATTGACATGTATACTTGTCACACTTAAATTTCAATTCCCATTATTTGGCAAGATCTATTTCGCTTAAAGAAAGCCTTTATTCTTTTTCGATGAATATTCGGGTTTAAAAAATTGTATAAATTTCTAATTCTATTCTTTTGCAGATTCATTTTTGTTCAAATAAAGGCATTTATTCATTTCTAATTATTTTTGTTTGTTGAAGACAAAAAATTTGGGTTTAAAAAATTGAATATCCTATTCTTTGGCAAGATTTTTCGTTCAAATGAAGGTATTTATTTATTTCTAATTATTTTTTGTTTCTTATTAAAGATGAAAAATATATAAACAAATATAAACATATAAAATTTTTTACTTTGATTTCATTTATCATAATTCTTCATGTATTCTCAACAAATACTAATAATATCTTGGTTACTTAGAATCCTAATCCAAGATTCATTCTAAGCTAGTCGATGATATTTAACTTTGTAATAACAGCATCTGTTTGAACAATATATTTGTTATAAAAGTCTTGTAAAGGTTTATTGGTTAACATGACCAATTTTTTTCATAAATCTTCATACTAACTAAAGTACACCAAACATTTTTGGATAAGCATTTGGACAAAAATTTAAAATCGTTTACATTATTTTATTACAATCGTAAAATGATTATTAATTTATTTTATTATTATATAGATCATGCTGAATCAATAACTTAACTGAATCAGCAGAAAAACCATTCAGGCAAATTTTCACAGATGTCCTAGGAATTATGATACCGTAATTTGTGACAAATAGTACCCCCTTGTTAAAGTACCCACCCATAGTCAATTGTGCGTTAATTTAGTCAAATTATATAGTCAATTGATGGTCCCAGGGAGGGTACTAATCAAATTTTAAGGCCTAGGAATGTAAGAGACCCAGGGTACTATTTGTCGCAAATTACAATAATAGCTGTAAATTATTAATTTTTTTTAAATTATTGGGGATTTGTTTGTTTTTTTTTTAATTATAGTTTTTATTTTTTTAAATATTATCTTTTTTTTTATAGAATTTAACTACAAATCACCGGCAGTGATCGTTACCACCCCTAGATAATTTTAGAGTTAGGGTACAGGTATTAAGAATTATTTTTTTTTTATATAAAATAATATAGAGCTAATATAAAATCCTGAATTCAGTTTTTATGAGGTTTTTGGGATCCTGAACATTTTTACTTAGAATACCCAATCAAGTTTACTTAGTACGTTTTTGAGATATAAGCATCCCAGTGATGATCACTGCCGGTTATGGTTAGTAATATTCTTTTTTATATATCAATTTTTTTTTAAAATTATCAGTTTTGGGAGAAGTTTTTTTTAAAATTATTATTTTTATAATAAATAACTTGCAATTTTTTTTTCATTATATTGTATAAGTTATGTTATTAGCAAATTCAAACTCCATTTCGGCAAAGTTTAAATTTTGCCAATTTTGCAGAAATGCGAAATGGCAAAAGTCATATGATGCTGCCATTAAGGCGGACTTTAAAAATCTCTGATTTACAGAGTTACTTATAATATGTAGTCTCTGTTACAAAAAAAGTAATGAGTACTATAAAATACCCTGCTAGCGCAGGGGTATTTCATGGGGCCTGTTATTTTTTTTGTAACAAAGATTAGCGTATTATAAGTAGGAAGATTTCCACTTGTGAATTAATATGCAAAGAACTCTTTGATGTATATTCTATAATAAAAATATAATCTCCAAAATCATAATCTTCAATATTTTATAGTATTTTAGAATATAGAGTTTTTATTATTCATATTACAAAATGCCTTTAACTCTTTTGTAAATTCCTTATAATATCTTTTTAATTCATAAAGTCATTTAAGAGCAAGTTCTCTTGTATTAGTTTGGTCTTTCCATATAGTATAATACACAGTTGCAATTTTTCCTTTCTCGATTTCTTTAATATTAGATAATCTATCAAATAAACTTCATTTAAATGTATCTTTATAACTCCAGGCTCTAGATTAGAATATTTTCATACAATTATCAATGTCTTTTCTTTCTAATTGTTCACCTTGTTGCTGTGCTAGGGTCGCATAATTGACACCATACTTAGTGGACTGGAAAAATATGTAAATACTTTTTGTTTATTGATTTTAATGCCAATTCCATAATAGCCAACTTGATATATTCTGCTTGAATTATTCATATCTACCAATTTTTGATAATGCTTGAATGCTACATTTTCATCCTTTTTAATTCCAATTCCAAGTTAATAATAGTATCCAACTGTATATTTTACTCTATTGTTTTCTATATCTGCGAGTTTTTGATAATAACTGAATGTCTTAGAATCGTCTTTTACAACTCTAGTTCTATAACAGTATCCAACTTGATATGTTCCTCCATTGTTAGCAAATTTTTAATAATAAGAGAATGTTATAGGTCTGTTTTTCAACTTGTTTATTGTTACTATCAATATATAGAGAAGTAGCAGTAGATTAATCCTGATACTAAATAAAAAGAATCTGAAGGTAGCTAAAATGTTGGCTTTTTTTCTTTTTTGTCTACTTAATATTTTACTTTTCAATTGTTCTTAGACTCAGCTTTTTCATAATTTTTAAGCTATATGCACTTTTCTACTTTTGATCTATTATTCTTGATTTTTAGGCTCTTTTTATAGCTATATTTTTGACTAGTTTTAGCTTGATATTTGTCTTGTTCAACTTTAATTCCACTTGGTTAGTAAGTGTTTTTATTGATTTAAATCTTTTTGGCTTTATTAGAAGTTTTAATATTTTTGCCAGCCTTGTTATTATTAACAAGTTCTTGACTGGGATTATTTTTCTTATTTTCTTTCACCTTTAGCTCGAATTCAATGATTTCATAGTCATTAAAGACTAGCCAATCTTCGGAGATCATATTATTAGATAGATACCAAAATTTGTCATTATTATCAGGTTCTTTGAGATAACTTCCAATAAGGTTTGGGGCTATCTTTTCATAACTAGATTCTTTGTCCAATTCGGAGATTTCTTTAACTTTAGCAAATTTGATTCTAGTAAATATTTTCACTTCACTGGCAGTTTTCTAAAATTCTTTAACTTTTCTTGTCTATTCTTTGTATGCACAATGTAAGCTTCTTTCTTCAAATGCTTTTCAGACATATTAGAACTTAGTTTTGCATTATTTTTATTATCTTGGTACAATTCATCTAAGTTCAATTTCAAAGATATCAGCGTAAAGTTCTTGCAAAGTATATCTGCCACTATTTTTCTAAGATTATTATATGTATTGAGACTATTATGATACATTTTGTTATTATCTTTTATGTTATTTTCACTATTATAGTGCCTTAATTTGAAAGCACTATTTATCTTTAATGATTCTTGATTATAAATAGACACCTTATGCTTATCTTTTTTGACTTCATTCTTTTGACTTCAATTCTATTAGATTTGGCTATTTTATCTATGTGGTCATTTTTCACTGATTTTGGGTTATCAATAAATATCTTTATACTTATCTTTTTTGGCATCTATTTCCTTTATATAATGGAAACCAAGAATACATGCTTTGTTGGCCTAGTCACTTCAGTAGTTTTTTGATAAAGAATAGATATCTTAGATTAGCTTGCTTTAATTCTAACTCTATTATGCTTATATTTTTTATAGCTATATGATTTTTCAGCTTGATACAATTCTGTTAATTTTTGATAATATTTGGGTGCTTTGTACTTATTATTTACAATGCTATTTTTATCTCGAATGCAAGGCTCTAGTTTATATACTCTATGCATAGCACCTAAATTGGTAGATTCTTGACAATGAGTATCTTTATCATTTCCTAATTCACTTTTCTTTTTAGCTTTATCCACAGATTTTTGATAATAAACAAGAGCTTTAGGTTTATTCTTTTCAACTTTAACCTCATTTTTATTATATTTAAGATTATACTTTCTTCATTGTTAATAATCAGGAAGTTCCTTGATATTATTAGACCAAGTTCTAATATTATTTTCGTGTTTATCTACTTCAGCAGATTTTACAGACTGTTTAAAAGCTTTGTTTGTATTAGCACTTAATTTATTATTATCATCCATATTAGCAAACTTTGGATAATGAAAAAATGCTTTAAGTTCCTTCTGACATTCTTCTTTTTTGAGACCATTTCTATTTTGCTTGTATATTCATTGAGAACCTTTAAATAATTTCTTTTTACCACTATTATAGTTATTGCTTTGGGTGTTTCTTTTCTTGGACTTTTTGGGCTTGCTTTTTGAAGCTCATATTTTTGATATATTACTACATTCTTCAGTTAATTCTTGAAGCAATTCTTTCAAATTGATTTCTTCTATCTTGGCTTTGGGTAGTTTTACTCAAGTCGGTTTTTTAATAGCCTAAACAGTATAGACATCTAAGGCTTGTACAACTAGGCTCTTCTTATGGTAGAGCTTTGTTAAAAACACTTTCATGGGATCTACTAGTGATAAACTTTTCTTTTTCATAGTTGAACTCATTTGGAGATATGATGGTAAATATATAATTAGCATATCCACATTGTTTTTATAATTAGTAAGGTCTTCTAGTATTTCAAGTACTAAGTTCAAGATCTGCAAAAGTTGTGTATTGTCGATGTAATAATTTCCAAAAGATTTCTTGGAAGTTAACTGCTTGTTTATTGGTAAAGATCTTAAATAAATTAGTACATCATTCTTTTAACACTTTTACTTCTGAACATTTATTAACTATATATCCTTTTGTCTTGCAATAGGAGCATCATGCTTCTTTTCAGAAATTTTGTTGAAGTGATTTAAACCTTGCAGCACTTGTGGTTGTGTTTCTTCTCTGAGATAAGTATTTTTTTTTATAGTTTCGGGTAGTGTTTTGAACTGTCAACCGAAAGTTTAACCAGAGATGATCTGAGTGGACTGCCAGGGTTTCCTAGCCAATCACTGATATTTGTTTATATTGGGTAAAATAGGATTGACACATTCTATTTTACTCAGTGTAAACAAACATCAGCAATTGGCTGGGAAAACCTGGCAGTCCACCCAAATCATCTCTAGTTAAACTTTCAGTTGACAGTTCAAAACACTAGTTTCGGGTTTGGGTTTGGAAGTAAGTATCTTACAGTCACACCAAATTGTGAGGGCTAAATCGAACCCTACTTCCAAATTATAGCCTTATGAGTATAAACTATAACTAAACTAATTCGAATCAATATTCTAATACCACAAAAACACCAAAACTCTATTTAGTCTTAATAGTAGAAGGCATAAAAGAGGGCGTGAAAAAACTTGGTCTAAGTTATTAAAGCCAAATAGAGCTCTAGACTACATCACGAAGTTCTAATTCAGGTACTGAAATAGTAAAGTGGTTTATTATTGGGGAATTAAGAAAATAAATATATAATTTATATGCAATAACTTGTTTCAATTAAAACTTAATACATGAGATATTATTTTATTCAAGGTGAACTCTTGGTCCTTATATACAACTTTTGGCTATACTATGATTTGCTAATTCTATCTAATATATATAACATATAAAATCTATCTAATATATCTAACATATCTAATATATCTAACATATATATTAGATATGACATATCTAACAGATATAATAGATATCATATCTACTAGATCCAACATATCTGATGGATCTGATATATCCAATATATTTAACAGATTTGTTAGATCTGTTAGATCTTTTCTCAACACACATCAATCTACTGTGGCAAAAATCATTTCAAGCCACAATTTACCCCTTTACAGTGTATACATGTATACTATAGTTGGTGATAAATAATCAGCAATCATTATTAAAATTTCCTTTATAAATTCTACTAAGATTTCAAAAATGCTTTTAATAAATGCTCAGAAGAGAAAAGAGCATTAGTTAAATATGTTATTCAAAGAAGTCAAGAATGATTTAAAAAAAAATTAAACTTCCATGAAAACCTGGAAGAAGGAAAAGAACAAAAGTAATACATTTACAAAAAACTAGATCACATTATGTGTCACCAGAATAGACCAAGAATCAAAAGAGAAGATTTCAAAGGCACCTTTAATAATGCCTGAAAGAGAATATAATTAAGAATCTTTTTAATAGATATATAATAATAAATGATAATGATAATCATACGCAAAGCTTAATAAAAAGCTTAATTAAATCAAGATTATGCATTACCTAATTTGAAAATTATCATCAAATATTTATTAAGTATTTAAATGTTAAATTTTTATTTGACTTTGCCAAGCACTAAGTTTGCATGATAGATACAATACAAATAGCAAAGACAAACCTCTTAACATCAATACTAAAATAATTAAAAATTTGTATAATAAACTTTAGATAATCAGTATCAAATATCACTTCAATCTCATTAAGGCTATAAATTACAAACTGCAAAGCAGTATCTTGACTATTATGAGGCTTATAAGCAATTTACTTAGTGGTTTATTATACAATTAGAGAATTATCACAAAACTTCTAAATCGTATCTCAACTTTTTAAATTATAGATAACAAATCCAAAATATCAAATATATGGTTAATTTCACAAAGCCCTTAATACAATTTATGGTTGGTCAAAATCCTATTTCATGTATTATACAAAATGATAAATTAATTAAGTTACCTCCTGATAGACATGTGTATGAGATGACAGAAAAAGTTTATATATAGAAAGAATTTCTTGAAAATAAAGATAACTTCGAATTGTTTTTTCTGATGAATTACTAGAGGTAATAGATTTATTATAAGTAATAAATTTAAAAATTTGTTTAATGATTTAGAATGTGAAGTTAATAAAACTTATGAATATTTTGAGAAATGGATGGATTTATGGTTACATTTACCTTTAACAATTGGCCAACTTGGCAGAAATTATACTCAATCATTTGCTAATAGTTATCGATTTGTAATTCTTAAAAAGCATTGAATCTAATTGCCTATGGAATTAAAGCTAAAATATGCAAATAATTTGGAGGTTGATATTAGTAATAGAAATACAAATGATTTTGGCTTGCATAAGTCATTATTACATGATACTTAATTTTATCAAGAGTTTGAGAATTTCTGTGCAACTAAGAATTCCAAATTACATGAATTTTCTAAACTTTATAGTTTCGTCAGAACCCATATTTATTTTATTGTTGTCCACCAACAGAAAGTTGAGAGAATTTTTAATCTGTTAGATTTAAAAACCCATCCAAATATGTCACGACTTTCAAAGGAATCTAAACTTCATTTAGCTTCAACTCAGATTGAACATTTGAACATGAAAATTTGAATTCGGGTCTTGAAAAATTTGATCTGAAAGAATACAACAAAAAACTGCTGTATTGCAAGACATCCAGCAAATACATTTCAGTGAAGAAGCTTTTTAAATAACTTGTTAAAATAGAATAACTACAGTGCACGACACTTAAAGACTACATTTGTCCCATTTTTAAAATTTAAAATTTAAAACTTTAATTTGTTTTA